AGGAGGTCTATCCACCGCACACACAGAGGGCAGCCATCAGCCTGAGTAACTCTTGGCTCAGGGACGAAACATTTCACTCACACAGATGGATATGAGCAGATTATACAGTCACTGAACAGACACAGGAGGAGAGAGGTATTTCCTTTAAGGCTGAGAAAGTCAGACGACAAAAGTCTTTACTTCTGTGTCCGTGGGAAAGACATATCTCTCTCTATCTCTCTCTCTGTCTTTACTTCTGTGTCCGTGGGAAAGACGTCGTCAGTGTGGGTGTAGTCTGACCCAGAGTCAGGTCAAAGTTCCTGCATCTGATTTTCGAAGAATTTTTCGGTCTGACTATAAAAACTCATTAAACTAATTATTTGTCCTGACGAGGAGATGATTCTCTTCTCTGTGGACTTTTTTGTTCAACTCAAAACCAAATGACAGAAAGCAACAGTGACGAACTGCCTGTAAACCAGACGATGTGCCTGTGATACCAGAGCATTACATTCAGATGAAAGTCATTTGCTGCTGTGATTGAGTGTGAGAGTTTTGATGAGTTGTCCTGACCTTCAGATCACATCATTTCACCTTCACTTTCACATCTGCAGTTGGGAGGACAGAAAACAAACGCTACAAAGGACACAGGAAGACAGTGTCCACCATGGACATATTTGTCTGTTTCCATCATATCTTTGGACACTTCCGTCTGTCTTCTGGGTTTGGTTCAGTGATATTAGCCAATCAAATCCTCCATTTGTGATGTTGTGGCTGAAAATGTTGCTTTTATTTTTTCTCCCTCTAGTTTTCTGTTCTCTTCCTATTGGTCTTCCACCACCAGTCCAAATACCAGTGGCACTCTGACAGTGAACAGCACCAGTGAACAGACCGTGACTGATCGGGTGTGGCGTGATTCATATGACGCTCAAGTCTTGATGTCTTGCCGACAGGCCATTAAAAATGATCATTAACATTAGGTCAAAGGTCAGTTGTTACTGACCATGATGGATACTGGTCCAGATTTAATACATTTCATTTGGACAGAAACTCATTATAAACCAGGTCCACTCTGTTACTGAAATGATTAAAATCACTCAATTCCAGAACAGGTTGTCCTTCATTACAAACAGACGATTTCTGATGATGTATTACTGTTGGTTAGTCTGATTCGACTTCTTCCATCTGGAAAAAAAATAAAAAATGGTTTCTCATACCTTTGTGTAGCTCTGAGAAGCAACAATGGTAAAAATCGATCTAATAAAAGTTCAGACTCTTGGTGGAACCCCTCTGGGTCAGTCTGACTCGACTTCTCCACCTTCTTTGACGCACCGATGACGATGAATTCATGTTACTTTCATCTTTTCCTGCCATTCAAAGCCAGTGAAAAGGAAAAGACACAACTGGAACAGGAAGAACTTTCATTCACTTTACACTGTTGAAGGCCACGGAGCTCTGTGGATGTCAAATATATGGCACACTTCTCAGAGTGGGATCAGTGAGTTACTCAAGCTTAATGGCCTCACATGAAATGAAAACTTTTGTGCCAGACTGAGAAGTCGGCATCTTTACTGGTTTAAGGCTGACACTGAAGAAGACCATTAGAGAAGGGATAAAAGTCCAGATTTTTCTGGGAATTGGATTTGAATGGGAGGCTAACTTACTCTAGAAGGTGTATGGTTGCCGTCTAGTCTTAGTGTGAGAGGTGTTTCCTGTATCTGTCGTCCACAGAGCACCGTGATCTTTAGCAGTATAAAAGACTGAAAAAAGTGTTTGGCTTCAGAATCACATAAAAAGATAATGAAGAAGCCTCAGATATGGAGAAGTCACGTCAGACTGACCCAGGAGAAGATTCAGGAAGAAGTGATGAAGAGCCCTGACTTTATTCAAGTGTTTTTTATTATTTTATTTTTTTTTACCATTGCTGCTTCTCATACTGTAGTTACTTCTAGCAGCAGAGTTTTTTTTCAGGCAATAATGAAGTGAATACTCCCTGCAAAGTTAAAGATTGTGCTAAAAGTTGTCATCTGGACTGTGCTGTTTCACTCCTGAATGAGGAGTGAAATAAATAACTGAGCCGGACTAGTTCTGCATTTCTAAACTTTTACAATAAAATGATGGCGGAGACGAAGAATGTCTTCATTCAAAATGATGGAAGAAAAAAACTGAAGTAAAACAGAGCCACATCATCGGCATAAGTGCAGTTCCACTGTATATTCAATGTCATATCTGTGTAAATGCTATAACAAAAACAGCAGGAGGAACATCTCCCTGGATTGAACCCATTGGCCCAGCGGTGCACGTCTGTGACCACAGCACGACCCTGATTAAAGATCATCTGTTTTATCACCTGTATATACAGTGGAGCCAGATCATCCCTGAATAAACCCTGGGAGTTCTGGACAGTCTCACTGCTGCAGGAAACTGTAACCCACCTCCCCACACCACCACCACTACTACCCTCAGCCCTCCTCCCCCCCCCCCCCCCCCCCCCCCCCCCGCCCAGTGCACACACACGGTAGCCATCACTTTGAGTAGTATTGGGCAGACAGGTGGAAGATGATTCCTTTTACTCCCATCAACAGGAACCCAGTGTGTGTCTTCGCAGACCTCATGTTGAGTCACTTCACTTGCACTCACGAGGTTTGGGCTGGCAGCTAATGAGCCTTCCTGCTGCTCCACCGCGGTCCTACAGGAAGCCTCTTACCAAACAGAGTTAGCATGAGCCGACGCCGTGTTCGTCCAGGCAGCCGGACTCACACAAGTGTCTAGACTCTGCTCAGCGGTGCAGGAGAATGTTGCACAAACACATGTATGAGTCTCGGGAGGCAGAAGTGTCTGGATATAGAAATAGTAGCAGGTGATCCATCACTTTTAATATATTCTTCACTTTTCACTAAGGTTCTGCCAAACCAGAAACATCTTCTTACACCCAGGTTTAACCCTGAACTCACCGCCGGTCTCTGTGTCATTGAATATTTTATAGTTAGTCTGAAAAAAACCCATCAGTTCAAGTTTCACAGCTGTCGTATTTTAGCACAATAATAATAACCAAATGTTTTTGCCCTCATGTTCATATAGATTGAAGTGAGCAAAACACTTTAATTTATTGCTACTTTTTTGTGCGATTAATCATGATTTTAGTAAAGAAAATCATTTAAATATTTTTGATTAAAAATGTAAAAATAAATATGTGGAAAACAATTAAATCAGACCACTTTCAGCTTTCTGATGTACATCACCTGCAGGTGATTTGACCATGTCATGACACATTTCCCAAGGTGTTTTCTTGTTTTATCAAGTCTCCAATGTTTGACCCTGGACGTGTCCACGGTCACTGTGGACATGTTGTGATGACCTGTCTCAGGTCAGTCTAATCAGAACTCTGCTGTGGCCCAGATTAGCACTGCGTTGTCTGGAGCATGTTTATATTTCCATGCATCGGTAAACAAACATCCAAACCTCAGAGTGAGCGCTGAACTTCACACAGTGGACGGAAAGTTGTCTCTGCCTCAGACACATACAAATATGGAGCGCTAACGAGCAGTGAAGGTGCGAGACGGTGGTTCCGGCCAGTCTCAGACTTCAGACACAGGCTTTGAGGATACCTCCAGGCTCTTACCTCAAAGCGCTGAGAGCTGACTTTCTTCCCCTTCTTCATCCAGGTGATGCGAGGTTTGGGCTCGCCCTCTGCCTGGCACACGAAGGATGCCACTCCGCCTGATATCCCGGTCTGATCGTCGGGGGACTTGATGAAGCTGGGCATGCCTAAGGGGGGAGAGACAGGCAGACAAAGGGTGAGAGAGAGCAGAGAAGAAAGGAGAAGCAGCTTCAGATTGAATCCAGACACAGAAACAGCTCCAGGGAAGTTGCAGGGACATTACATTTCTGCATCTACTGTAAGACTTGCAATAACAACAACAAAAAAAAAATCAGTAACAACAGCCTGGAACCAACCCTCCCAGTATGAGTTCAGCACATATCAGTTTTGGTAATATTGCAGTCAGGCCTGTGGTTCCGAACAGACCGATAAGAACCTTGGAGAACTGCTCTAAATGCAGGAACATTCATTTCCATAACAACACTGAGGCCCCACTTCCAGCAAGGACCTCCACTGGGAGCTTAACAGTCGACTTCCATCAGCTGTTGAAACGCAGTTCAACTCACTGGAGAACGGTTTGGATTGGTTTAACCCTGGAGTGGCTGGTAAACAAACCTCAGACACTTCAGTTCCTAAAACTGTTGCCAGACGTACAATAATTATGGTGAATCGTACGAAAACGTCTCCAACAGCTTTGACCAGTTTTATCATCATATCGTTACTTGACCCGTTGGATTCAGTTTTTTATGTCGCCTTCAAAAATGAACCAATCAGAGCTAACATCACATTTGGTTGTTTGAGAGATCATTGGCGTGAAATTTATACAGACAAACATATCTTGAACGCACCGCACTCTGCAACGTGCGACCCGAAATTCATCACTTCTGCGTCTGAAAGTGTTTACGATCCAGTAGATTAGCTTTGTATAACATGGCACCTGATTGTTTTGCCATAAACCCTGGGGTACAAACACATGTGTTTATTTGCAATGAGTGCGTAGTTGTATGAAAAAGGATTTGTTGCACAGTTCATATCGCCTGTTCATTAGCCGGGGAGGATATTCAGTCCAGCTGAATCTTATCTCTGTCATTTGAACTCTAGATAAGCCACTGATCACGGAGCTAATTCTGCTAAATGACCACTGATCACAGACCCATCCTGCCTACCCCAGCTTTAAGTCGTGTCAGTGAATAGCTGGAGGAAATCTTTCAGCAGCTATTTGTAAAGTCAGTGTCGGGAGCTGCTTCCCAAGTGAGGAGGATTTCCACGAAAGTCTAGTACAACAGGTTACAATCAGGTCAAATACAGCAGGGAAACGGTGGCTTTTCCAGAGCAACGCTTAGAATAAGGTCCTGTCTCAGCGTCTGCCAAGGAGAGAAGGCTTTTATGGAGGTGTCAAGAAGCAGAGGAGGAGGGCGAGCAGATCGTACCATTATTAAGCTATTTATTTCTCTTGGCTGACCCTGAGTCTTGACACTCTAAATGTAAAACACACTGCAGCCCCGCATCACTTCACAGGCTGCTCTGACTTCCCCCTCTGCTGGCTCCACATACATGGAAAAAAGTTAAATAAATAATTGTGTCAGTGTGAACTCCCCCCATAGTATTCACAAAGAGAAAGGATTTTTTGATAATGTGTGAATAAATATGCAAACAAATGTAGAAAATAATTTTGGTTTTAGTTTTTCTGATTCTGACACATTTAACCTCAAAATGTTCAATCTGAATAATTTGATTAATCACAATTAATCATGATCAATCTTGAATAATCTGAATAATTTTATTAATCACAATTAATCATGATCAATCTTGATCATAAATTGTATAGTGTGCATATATACATATATACATGTATACATACATATAAACATACAGTATATCTGCATCTGTAAAACATCATTTTTTTAATCACGATTAATCAATTATTCCTGATGGTAACAAATCGAGATAAATCAACATTCCTATTATTCTGTACATCAGTCCATATGTGATCTGAGATTCTGAGGTTCTGTTATTGTACCTCATATACGTACAGTCTTATAAAAGCAGTGGAACATTGAATATTTTGACAGGTCTGCGGCAGATCTGCTCCTCCTCCTGTTTTATAGCTTTGTTTTTCACCTCCTGCTGTCAGGGACCTCACTGTCGTACATCTCTGTTCCTCATTTACCCTCAAGAATTTGATGGCAGACAGGCACACAGCCAGACAGACAGGCACACAGCCAGACAGACAGGCAGTCAACCAGCCAGACAGACAGGCAGTCAAATGCAGAACTGGACAGAACATGACTGTTTCCAATGACAAGTGACAACAGCTTCACACAAAGCTTCACCTCCTCCTTCTTCACCTCCTCCTCCTCCTCCTCCTCCTCACAGAGCATGATTAGCGTGCTGAGCTAACAGAGAGCAGCCATGCAAATCAACCTCTTATCACTCTCACTGACACATAAACAATCTGCTGCATCACCAACACACACCACAGCCTTGATTCGTTCACTCAGACTCAGACGTCGGTCGCCGTGACGACATTCACTGCAACTTTTTCTCAAGAGGGAATAAACAGTAGGTTTAGAAACAAAAGTAGAAAAAAAACGCAGCCAATGATCTTTCAACGTTGAAGCCTGATCTTTAGTTTTAAATTCAAAAACTTACAGAAACAACATTATAATAAAGAAACATTTACAATAAAGACACACACATATATATATATTGAACATTTTACTTTTCCTGAGAACTAATAACAACATTTTGACCATCAACCGGTCTGAGCGGCTTCTAAATGCTGGGTAATAACTTTTAAAAACCTCACTTCCTGTTGGGCTGCAATAAAAAGCCTGCAGAACCAACTGAGACCCAGGAGGCTTTTATAAACTTCTCACTTTCCAGGCCCTGAACGCACCATGGTACTGTAGCCAGCAGGTAAATCGCGGGGTGGAATGTACGAGGGATTTTAAATTTAAATGGACTTTTAGTGGCTGTAGCCTCAGGCGGTGCATCACATGAGAACATCCAGCTGACCCAGTTCTCCAGTCAGCGTTTGCCCGTCATGTCTGTGTAGTCAGGTAACTGGGTGTCAGTTCGAATCCTGACTGGACAGAATATCTGAAGACATCGTCCCTGATTATCACGAAAACCATTAGTATTGATGCTAAACCCCAAGCAGCTACAGGTGGGGGCGCTGAGATCTACAGTAGACTACTTTCAGATGAGGTGAAAAAAGAAAATTTAGAAACTATCTTTTGGTGGTCATTAATTCAGGAAAAGTGCTGCATGATTCACAGCATTTAACCGTGATGTAGAAGTAAAGCCCTTCAACGCTGCCTTAATAAGAACGGTCAGGATTAAAGGATTTCCGAGTGTGTCCTGGGATAATATTATAATCCATTTAAAACAGACACAGCATATTTACAGGACCTGTGGAGTCGGGTCAGTCTGCAGGGACCGGCGGGGAACAGCAAACGTTTGCTCATTAAGTTTCACGGCACAACTTTTCCTGCTCACTGATACAGAAAATCCCCCTTGGTCCCTGGTACTGATCTCCGATCGCTCTGTCAGCACCACCCGTCAGCTGTACACCAACAGCTTCCTGGTAACTTCCAGTCTTCGAAGACTAACTAGGAAACAGTCAGGCAAGAACCTGGGATGTAACTTCCAGTGAGGGAGAAAAACAGAGAGTGTCGACACAACGGGATGAGGCTCCAAAAACATCGCCTTGACATTTCACATTTCAGATTCTCTCCTCTTGTCACTGGGCCATTTTCACACAGCGGGGGAACATTTTCACTCCGATCAGCGTCAGCTGCAGATTTGAACCCATGTTCAGAGAACAGTCAGTCAGGACCTGTCTATGACCAGGTTCTGAGTTCTGTTCATTGACAGGTCATTGTGCAGCAGCCTGTCAGTGAGCAGTCAGTTTACTGCAGCAGTTTATGTTGACCAACCAACACTAATCAATCACTAATCAATAACCACATGAGCGTTTGACTTTGATGATGTCATCGTAGGAACTCTGTCTTCTGCTCCTCCAGTGGTTTGTTCCTGAGTGTTCACTTAGAGCAGACTACACTGTTGACTAATGACATTATTATTATGAACATAATAATAAGTAATACTACTACTACCACCAGTAGTAGTAGTGATTAAAAAATGCTTTGTCATAATATAATATGCAATTAATGCTATTAATAATACTGTTGTACTATTATTATCACTAAAACAGGTATTTACAATATTACTACTACTACTTCTACTACTACCACTACAAACACACACAATAATAATATCGTAGTAGTATTTTTTCATTTTTGTTGTTCAGAAATCTTATTTATGAACAACTTAATAATTGATTTCTAACTGCATAACTAACTATCATACTTACTAACTTAAGGTTAAATTTAAGTTTGTTTATTTAGTTTGAGTTCAGTTTTATGTTTATTTATTGGTGTATAAGAGCTCACAACGACACACTGAGAACCCCCCACTCCCCCCCACCCCCCGGTGTGTTCATCATTTTCAAACAACACTTCATTTTGAAAACCAATATGGAGTTAATGAAGGATTTTCTTTGGTCCTATC